GAGTGCCCGCAGGCCTGAGTCTCTTACTCTGGGGGGCTCGGCCCAGAGGGGCTAGCCAGACTGACGGGAGCTTCTGGCTCTCCCCTGACTGTTTCAAAGGGTGGTGAAGACCCTGGCCTGCAGGTGGCCCAGACTCTCTCTGAGAAATTCAGTTGTACAATGGTAGGTGGCATGTCACCTTCCTTTAGGAACCCCAGGAGATACCAGGTAACTTTGGGGAGATCCCCACCTTGGCCAAGGCTACAGAAACCAAGAACCATAGAGAACGGTTTTCATCGGCCATTGTGCGTCTCCTGCAAATGACTGACGTCAGGCGTTCCAAGAACCACAATGGCAGGCCGGGGGTGAGGACTAAGTTTTCTTTGGAGGTGAAAATGATTCTAAAAAGAAGAGGCAGGGCGGGAGTGGGGAGCTTCAAATCTACTGAGCAGGTCACTGGCTTTAAAAAGGAAAGGAGGTTTTTCGTTTTTTAACTTAATATTCACCTTTCCATGAAAAGTCAAAGGTGATTTTTAAGATAATTCACTGATTCACTCAAGTACGAACTCGCCCAGATGAAAAGTGAGGAATACTTTTTTAAAATAATCCCTCTGTTAAGACTCTCAAGCAAGTGTTATTTGAATTGGATCATTAGATCCAGGCTTCTCACCAGTCGAGGACACTGGGACATTAGGAATGTGGGGAGCCGTGAATAAAAGCAACTGCATTTTGAGATTGTTATTACATTTAGTGAAAACCTAAGTTAAAGAGGAAAGTTCTAAGCCCTGCTAAAGAAAATGACCTGGGGGGATTTTTAAGACTTTAAAGGAAATCTACATTAAAAAAAAAAATTCTAATGAACAGAGCAAGACGTTTGGCAGATGAGTTAAAGCAAAGGTGCAAACTGAATATCATGCAGCAAGGGCAGGTAGCTCAGAAGCGGGGCAGCTCACACCCCCTGCACCCTCCATGGTCATTTCTAGCCCAGGGCTGGCAGGACTTGGCTATAATTCTGAGAGCAGAAGCTCGCTGGACACCTGTCATTTGACAAGGGAGTTTAAGACCACAGAGTACACTTAGTAAATCATGCTTTACATTTAAATAATGCTTTAGAGCTTCTTACCACAGGCTTTAGGAAGCATTGTCAATTGTCAACTGAATTGGAAACTTTTGATTCCTTCACTTACCTGCAATCTTTGAGCAAAAGTCCCTGACATTTAGTCTCTGAGCTTTTGGCTGATTTGCCTATGAAGTGGGGTCCCATCATGTTTTTATTGCCCAAGTCTGTTTCAAAGAACACATGTCACTAGACAAAAAGCTTTTAAAAATCCAAGAATGTGCTTTTTTTTTTAATGTGCCATTATTATGCATGATCATTACTATTACTGCTGACTAGTAACCCTGATGGCAGCCAGGCTCTCCTTCAAGTTAGGAGGGGACATGCAAACATAGAGGGTGGTCTCCTCCTTTTCTTGATACCAGTTTGCCATTTTAAGCACATATACATATGAGAGAGAGAGAGAGAGTATGTGTGTGTGTGTGTGTGTGTGTGCGTGTGTGTGTGTGTGTGCGCGGGGGGTGGAGGGCAAGTCATAAAAATTAACCTACCTGGATAGAAAAAAAAATTTGGAGAGAAATCTAAGAGAAATTGGATTTTAAAAGGAAGAACTTGGACTTTGGGATCATGGAATACAGACGTTAAGGGAAAGCATCAAAAGTTCCTCTGGATTCTAAAAATGTTGTGGCCTAATAAGCCAAGCCCTTCCCACTGCACCAAGTGCTTGGTGGAGACATTTTGAATACGGGAAAATGGCCGTATTGGAAAAAAAAATAAAAAAGGCACCCCTGCAAGACGGGGCTCACTGCATCACTGTTGCACCTGGTGGCATAAATAAATCATCATGCAATTAATTGAGATGCACTGTGTAAATAAAGTGTCGCAGTAGAGTGGCCACCATTACAGATAGTATTTGCATGCAGTTTCAGTAAATGCAGCACCTACAAAAAAATTCAAATCTAGCAGGTACCTCAGTTCTCCAAAAAAAAAAGGGGGGGGGGGTAAAAAAGGGAATCGTACCCAATTAGGTTTCCAAAAACGAGCCTAAATCACCAAAATCATTGGAAAGGGCAACTGAAAACATGAAATCGTCTATTATTGGGGGGTGTTGAATAGGAAAAAGCTTTCAACTCTTTAGATATGAATCTATCTTCTTTTTACAATCCCCTGTAATGTGGCTAAGCCATTTGGGCAATAAAAACGGACAGGGTCCACACACATACAGTTTTAAAGCAGGAGATGAGGTGCAAGTCACAAAGTAGGGGCCACATCAAAGGAAGGTCATTTGATCTGCATTTTCAGTGAGAGGCCTGCTTGGATGTCTTGCTTTAGAAGCAATAAGACTAGAATGTCAGTGAGAAGGCTCACCCCAGAAAGAGGGACGCTCTCATCCTACCTCCTCTCCCCTCCCTTGATCAGTAACTCAGACCCCCATGGGGTACCTCCCTTGTCAGTCTGGCAAAATGGAGCCAGCATGACAAACCGCACTGCACAGCAGTTTGCACACCTTCCGCCAGCCTAGCCTGGGGGTGCCAGCCTGCCTCCTTGTGGATGCTGCCCCTGGTGTGATTGAGCACCCACAGCCTGGAGCAGGGCCAGGCTAAGGCCAGGTGGCCCCAGCAGATTTCCTTCTATTAACATCAACCCCCCCCCTTCCCAATGGGAAGGGAAACTTCTAATATTCCTCACGCTTGGCCCCATAAGGTGACCTGAGGGGTCACCTTGGCATCATCTATGGTCAAACTGGACTATGCACCCGCCCCCCTCAACCTCCCCTTAAGTAGAGCACTCCAAACATGGAGTAAAGGTGACTTCAGTGGGACAAGCTTCATTTCACAAATGGGGAAACTGAGGCTCCAATAAGGAACGCTGCCCATGAGGGGTCAAGTGTGCTGTCACCAGCCTCTCCTGTCTGCTCCCAGTTGTCCCCTCTGCATCACAGAGCTCTGCTGTGCTTGCAAGGGTGAAATGGGGCTCTGATGGCAAGCCCAGCTGTCTGCAGGCAGCAGTGCGCTGTCACTAAGGCCGAGGCTGGAGAGCACTGGGACAGCTGCAATTTCAAGCTACCTCCCCTTTGCATGTTTTTGGGGGAAAGGGTGATGTCATTATTTGCCTGGGTGGGCATCAATAAAATGACCGTCACCCTTCAAAGTGTGATTGGTGAGAGACACATGACAATAGCACACAGTCACGTCCACAATAGCACAAGTCAGCACCAGCGCACAAGGCAAAAGAGCTCACCAGCAGATGTAGCACAGCCTTGGGGACTGTGATCTTAAAATCCCTCGAAAGGTCTTAGAGAATCAAATAAAGAAATTAAGATGGTGGGGTTTCACCTTGGAAATGTTCATCTAAGCCTCGCATCCAGCCCATCCCTGATTGTGGCTTTAATTAATCGTGGCTCAAGGACAAGGCCCTGGAGCTGAGCTGAGGAGCGCCTGGAGGGAGGGGAGGGGTGGGGGAGGGCGTGGGCAGGGCCAAGGAGGGTCTTGTTGGGGGGGTGGGAGGGAGGAGGTCCTGGAGAGCCCCCCTGGAAGAGCCCTGTTAACATGATTAACGCGAGACCTTGAAAACAATGTTTGGGGGGTATCCGAAGCCCCTTCGCGCAGGGTCTTACCTTTGAGCCTCTGCCCCCATCTAAAGCTGCTTGAAAAAATTCACATGCAGACGTTTACATTTCTCACAAGTCATAGCCACGGTTTGAGCACATTTTGTGCACACACTTCAAATACACTGGAAGCATTTTTTAAAAATTTTTATTTTAATGGCATTTCCAACACCAAGATGGCACCCCACTCCCGAGGCACACCCCGCCTTCTGAGTCCAGCCCCTCCTCCCCTGCGCCCTGTGAAAGGGCAAGTGTCCGGCTTACCTCGGGTCTTGCCCAGGAAAAACAGGGTTTCAGCTCCCGAGCTCAGCCACGCCCACCCCCTGCGGCCTGGCCTGGCCCGGCCCGGCCCGGCCCCGGGCCGCCCTCCGGGGTCTCGCCCCGCCGCCCCCCGCCCCCGCCCCCGCCCCCGCCAGGTGAGGGGAGTGTGTGCGGAGGACCCAGCTCGCAGCGCAGCCCCTGACGCCCCAGATACCTGCGTGTCTGGTTTTTCAAGCGTAAAGGCGGGAGGGTTTGGCGAGCGAATGAGAAGTGAGGAGACGCTTAGCGCAAAGGGAAAAAAGAGAGAAAGACACACAGAGACAAGGTTATGGAGGCCCGGAGGCGGCCCTCTCCCCGGGCCGGCGGCCCGCGCGGGTCCCCGCAGCTGCCCCCGCCGTCTCCTCCGCGTGTGCGCGCGGCCCGCCGCGGAGCTCCGCGCCCAGGTCCGCCCGCGTGTGCGGCCACGGAAAGTTTTTGCCCGCGCTATGGCGCAAAACGCGAGGCAGCCGGTCGCCCGGCACGAGTACACAGTCGGCGGGTACACTGGGGGTGCCAGGGACGGGAACTGGGGGACACTTGCGCATGTCATGCACCGGCCAACACAGAATATGGACACCGACACACCAACGACAAGCGGCCCGAGTCCAAGCAGCCGTGCCAGGCGAGGCGGGGGCGCGCCTCCCCCCACGACCCCAGCCCGCCGCGCCGACCAGCTCAGCCGAGGGAACCCCGGGGCCCCTCCCCGGCAGCTCCTGGCTCACCTGAAGCCCCTGCCTTTCTGGCCGAGACCCGCCCCACGACTCGGGGGCGTCTCACGGTGGCGGGCGCTGGCTTTTCGGGCCGGAAACGACCCTCAGTGTCGCAGGGCACCACTTTTCTCCCTGGAGGGCACATACTTCGACCACCCGAGCCCACCCCGGGCCCCCTCCCCGGCCCCGGGGCAAAGTTGGGGGCCCTGCTGGAACTTCCTAGCGAGCTCTTCCCGCCTTCCGGGACCCCCTCCTCCCGCCGCCGGGCCCCGGACCCTGCGGGCAGCCCGGCCACCCCTGCCGGCCCCGCGGCCCTGCCGCCCGCGGGCGGCGCCCCCCGCGTTACCTAGAAGCAGCAGGCGGTGCGTACACATGTAACCCATCTTCTCGCTCTGGAGCTGCTTGTCGATGAGCTTGCTGCGTTTCTTCTCGGCGCGCCTCTGAGCTCGCATCTCCATGGCCTCCTGGCGCATCTGGCGGCGCTTCTCCGCCAGGGGCACCTTCTTGGCCTTGGGGCTGGCCGCGGCTCGGGGCTGGGGCTCTCGGATCGGGCCTCGGCGCGGCCGAAGCAGCCCCCGAAGGCTTGCAAGAGGAAGTTGCGGAGCAAGTTGCGCCGGGGCTTGCGGCGCCGGCGGCCCCTGCGGGACAGCAGCCAGCGGTGGCAGCCGGAGGTGCCATCGTCGGACTCGGCGCCGCTGCTGTCGCTGCCGACCGAGCCCTCCTCGTCGTCGCGGCGGCCGCGGCCGCGCTCGGCCCTGTCCCGCCAGGCGTGCGCGCGAGCAGGCTGCGGAGTAGGCGGGTCGGCAACCTGGATCTCGGGGCTGGGGGGCCGCAGGAAGCGGCTCTTCGGCCGGGCTCCGGAGGCTGGGGCGGCCGGCGCTCTGGGGGCGGCCCCGGCGTCAGGCGCGGCTGGGGCTTTCGGGGCGGCCCCGGCGTCAGGCTCGGCTGGGGCGCCGGGGGCTGGCCCGGCGTCAGGCTCGGCTGGGGCTTTCGGGGGGTCCCCGGCGTCAGGCTCGGCTGGGGCTTTCGGGGCTGGCCCGGCGTCAGGCTCGGCTGGGGCTTTCGGGGCGGCCCCGGCGTCAGGCTCGGCTGGGGCTTTCGGGGCGGCCCCGGCGTCAGGCTCGGCTGGGGCTTTCGGGGGGTCCCCGGCGTCAGGCTCGGCTGGGGCTTTCGGGGTGGCCCCGGCGTCAGGCTCGGCTGGGGCGCCGGGGGCTGGCCCGGCGTCAGGCTCGGCTGGGGCTTTCGGGGCGGCCCCGGCGTCAGGCTCGGCTGGGGCTTTCGGGGCGGCCCCGGCGTCAGGCTCGGCTGGGGCTTTCGGGGCTGGCCCGGCGTCAGGCTCGGCTGGGGCGGCAGGGGCTGCCCCGGCGTCAGGCTCGGCTGGGGCGCCGGGGGCTGGCCCGGCCTCAGGCTCGGCTGGGGCGCCGGGGGCTGGCCCGGCGTCAGGCTCGGCTGGGGCTTTCGGGGCTGCCCCGGCGTCAGGCGCGGCCCCAGCGGCAGCGGCCCCGGCGGCAGCGGCTCCGTCCCCCGGAGAGGGGACTTGTCCTCCCTCCGCAGCCGCGGCGGCTGAGCCTCCTTCCATCTCGGCTGCTTCTCCCTCAACTGGGGGTCTCTCTCCCTCTGCTCGCTCTCTCTTAACTGGGGCTCGGGAGACCTCGATGGGCGGGTCGTCAAGCGCGATTGGGGGGCTGTCCATGTTGACGGGAGCGTCGTCGACCCCAATGGGGGCGCTGCCAATCTCGAGCGAGGGTCCGGAGATCTCCATCGGGGGGCTGTCGCCCGCGAAATGTGGAGGAGATCTGACAGCCTCTCGGGATGGGCTGCCGATGGCGCCTGGGACCCAGAGGGGGGGCTCGTTCGCGGCGGGAGCGAGGAGGACCGCACTCGAGACCGCGACTGCCGCGAACTGGCCACCACCGTCGATTTGTGGGATAGCTGGGGGGAGCCCGGGGGGTGGGCTATCATCCCCTCGGGCTGCTCCATCAAACTCAAATGGCATAGCCTCCTCAGGGGAAGGGCTGCCGCCTCCTCGGAAGCCTGCGTTGGCGGGTCTGAGGTCTCCCAGCTCCTCTGGAGCAGTGTTGAAGACCCCAGCACCTGGGCCGCCCGGTGCCAGGTCTGAGACCTGCAGCAGAGGCTGGCTGCAGCCTCCCTGGGCAGGCTGCTGCTCAAACTCGAAGGGCATAGCTTCTTCTGGTGGAGGGCTGTAGCTTCCCAGGCTGGGTATGGCATCACCGGGGGCTCCGGGCTCCATGAGCGCTGCGCCGAAGGCCTCAAGGCCTGCATGGGCCCCAGTGGCATCTCCAGGCTGCTCCGGGGTAGGCCAGAAGCCTCCCAAGCTGGGCTGCTCAACCTCGAAGGGCATGGCTTCCTCAGGAGGTGGGCTGTAGCCTCTACAGACTCTGGCATCCTCGAAGGCCTGCTCGCGGCCTTGGAAGTTGGGCCTGGAGACCTCTGAGGGTCCACAGGCCTCGCCTTCAGTCTCGATGGGGATGGGCTCGACGCCAGGCGGTTCGGTCTCCATCTCTTCGGCTGGGCTAGGCCCAGCACCGGGGGCAGCTGCCCCTGGGGCCTCCAATGGTGGTTGCTCGGGCTGCTCCCCGAGTTCAGGGGGGCTATTGCGTTGTCCTGACATATTATTGCCGTCGAGGCAGTAGCGCATGCCCATAACACGGTGGCGGACTTTTAAAATAAACTGGGGGCCCCGTAAGACGGAGCACCCAACCGAACTAGGGTCAAAAAAAAATTATTTAGAGAAAAAAAAACAAAACACCAAAGTCCCAGGTTCTCCAACCTCGGTTTCCAACCCTCCTGAGGGTTGCAGGGTTCAGGGCCTCAAACCCTAGACCGTGGCAGAAGCAGTTCTATTGTCGCTGGTGGAGTCTCGGCTCCCTCGTGGCCACTTTTTATCCCTTCAGGCTGGCCCTTGCCCCCCCCACCCCCTGGCCTGCCCTGTCCCTCCTCTCTCCCTCTCTCTCCCTCTCTCTGTGCTCCAGGCCAGCCCCGCCTGCTTGGATCCGAGGAGCGTGCCGATTCGGTCCGAAAATCGCTCGCAGTGTTCTCTCTCTGCCACCAGGGGACGCCGGCCCGGGGGCCGAGGCGGCTCCCGGAGCCGGCTCCTGGCGCCGGCAGCCCCGGACTTTGGGTAAGGGGGCTGATGAGCGCAGGCCTTGCAGGGACGCGTTTTGGCTCCTTCCACTCCTCTCCCTGACTGATTTGGAGTGTTTCGCCTCTCTTCTCCCCTGGCCAGAGAGAGAGAGCGAGAGAGCTCTCCTGCGTTGCGGGACACGTGACGCAAGACGTGGGCCCCCGGCGGCTGGAGCGCAGGAGCTGAAACCCTCCCTCCCAGACCCAACTGACACTCCCGGGGGGAGGGGACTGCAGGAGGGTTTCATCACCCCAGGATACCCCTGAACCCCTGGAAACCCCCCCCCCATGCCAGCAGCCTCGGATTTGAGCCCCAAGTCCAGCACGCAAGACTTCTGGGAAGGGGGCGCGGGCGCGCGCAGCGATGCGACAGGTGGTCGTGCGCCCACCGGCGGGCAGACGGATGGCGAGGGGCTGAGAGTGTGCGCACACGCTTGTTTTTAAAACGCCTTGGGGTACTTTGCGCGGCTTCTGCAGCCTTTGCTTGCCGGCTTGCCGAGCTCGGTTTCCACGAAGCACTTCTATGTCCTCTACCCCCACCACACTCTGGGGGTCTCCGCAGTATCCTTGGGCGGAGCAGGCAGGGTCTCCCCCCTTTATGTGGCTGATGATGCCGGGGATTGAGAGGGTCTCCGGCGCGTAGCAGGGCGCTGTTCTAAGTGATAGCTGCCGCGGCACGAAACGTGGGGTGCGGGATGCACTCCGGGACCCTATGGAGCGCAGGCCTCAGAGTCTTGTGGGTCCCGCCATTCTGGGGAAGGGCTTAAAGGGCATTTTGGTTGAGATTTGAGTTGGGTTTAGGATGGTCTTGGAGGCTGCGCTGCCCTGTGCTCCCCGAACCCAAAGACACAGATCGAGCCGTGCGGGCAGCCGCGGCGAGCGATGCGCGCCGCGGGCGCCCGCAGCAGGGTCGGCGGCCGGCGCCCCTCCTTCCTCTCCAGCCCCCCGCAGCCCCTCTCCGCCCCTTATGGCTCTCCCTGGATCGCCGCTTCACTTTCCCGGTGCTGGAGCCGCCGAGGCAGCACTAAGCCCGGCCAGAACCCGCGGTTGCCGCGCCGCTCCCGGTGCCGTAGCGCGGGGGTCTCGGGCCGGCGGGTAAACACGAGGGGCGGGGGGCTCGGCGCGCACGCCCGCTCCGCTCCGGGGCTGGGGGCTGCAGGCGGACTGGAGCCGGGGCGGGGGCGGGGTTGCCGCGGGCGGATCACGTAAGACCCCGCACCGCGGCATCCAGCCCGTCTCCCCAGCGGGGTGCCGAGGACCCGCGAGCCCCGCGTGGGAGGCAGCCGGGCGGGGAGTGGGCGGGTGGTCTCTCGGCCGGCGGGGTCCCGGGGGAGAGGATCGAGCGCGCGTGACTCCAGGCGCCCTGCGGCAAGCGGGCGCCCCGCTCGGATCGCAGAGTCTGCGAGGCGCGGGCGGGCGAACCGCGCAGGGTCTCGGCTCATGGAGTCGGGCGCATCCCTCTGAGGACGAGGACGGAGCGGCCGCGGGCCCCAGCGCTCCTGCACCCGCGTCCTCCCATCCGCAGGGCTGCGGGCGGCGGAAAGCTGACCCAGGGCGACCCTGCGAGGGCCTGGGCACCCCCAAAGGCATATCAGCTCAGCTGCACGGCCCACCCACTCCCCAATGCCAACACCAAACTTCAGCTCAAACTTTAGCCAACCGCCCCCGCGCCCGAGGCCGCAGCCCCTCCACCCGCCAACCGGGTCCCCACCTTCAACTTTCTGCCCTCAGGCCCCAGCTCTGGGTCAGCCATTGGGTTGGGGTCACGCCCATCAAGGCTGCCTGGCGAATGAGTGGGGGGCGTCGGGCCGGAACCGGATGTGGGTGGGAGGTCCAATGGGGGGCGCCGCGTTGGAACGGCCGAAGAGATCGTGCTGGGTGGACGTGGGCGGGCGCGTGGCCGCCGGGCCTGGGCCGCCATGGGGTCGCCGGCGCCCGCCGAGGGCGCACTCCTGGCGCGCGGCCGCAGAGGCCGGGCAGGGTGCGGGGCCCGCAGGGGCGAGGCGAGGCGAGGCGAAGGAAGATGCCCAGGGCGTGGAGGCCGAGGGCCCCGATGCGAGGAGCAGCCCGAGAGGGGTGAGGGGTTGGGGCCTCGGGGAGACTGAGCTCTGCCCGAGGGGAAGGTCGGTGGACGGCGGGCCTGAGCCGGGGGCTGCCCCCACGGGGTCCCCGCAGGGACGATCGCGCGCCAGGCCTCGCGCGCAGCCCACGTGGGCTCTTTCCCAGAGCTGGTCATCGCGGGGCGCGTGTGGGGTCTCCAGGCTCCGCGGCCTCGACCCCTTTGTCAGCATCTTGCTGGCACCTCGGCCCCTGGCAGGAGAGCACGTGATGGGGGGACAGGCGGGGCGGGACATCGCCCCCCGGAGAGCTGAGGCGGCACAGAGATGAGGAGGGATGTCTGGTTGGGGGGACTCCGGGCCCGAAGGAGAAGACGGGCTTCCCAGTGGGGCGCCGGGGGAGTGGGGCGAGAGCGCGGGGGCGCGGGGGGCCCTGGAGGACGGTTCCGGGGCTCTCCGGGTAGGAAACGGAGGTGTTGGTCTTTTCTGCTTTTGGTCCCGCAAGTGAGGATGTGAGCCCCGTGTGAGGAAGGGGGAGCCCGTGGGGGGCCGTGCTGATGAGGAGGCGCGGGAAGGCGGGAGAGGGTCCCAGAGGACCCTCCGGGGGCTCCCGAGCTGGAGGGACACTGAGGCTGGAGGTGCCAGCTCCCGGGTGGGGCGGCTCTGGGGGAGCCAGTTTGGTTTGGGCATGGCAGGGTGAGGGAAGATGGGCCCCCTGGAGGTTTCCCGGCTGGCTACCTCAGAGAAGGGGTCTGAAGTTCAGAAAGATGTAAAGCCCTCGAAGGTGAAGTGACGGTCGCCCTTCTGAGAACACGAGGTCACTTGAGAGGAAGCCCCCGTGGCTGACAGAATCGTGGACAGCTGGGCCAGTGCAGTGGAGAAGAGGAGGCAAGAGAGCCAAGGGGCTGACCAGGCCCGGTGGGAGCACCCTGGGGGGCGCTCCCGAAGGTGGGGTCTCCGGCCCCAGCACCGGGACACCTGTGCAGGTGAGTGTGTGTGGTCACACCTGTGCACTGCAGGGTGCTTGGCAGTATCCCTGGCCTCTACCCACTAGATGCCAGTAGTACCCCCTTATTGCAGCAACCAAAATTGCCTCTAGGCTTTGCCAGATGTCCTCGCGGAAGCCAACTAGCGCTGGTTGGAACCAGTGTTGAGGCTGAGCATGCACCCTGAGCCTCAGGAAGGGTCCCCTTCTTTCAAAGGTAAATTAGGACCAGGAAGAAGTGCCAGCCTTTAGCTGCCATGTTCTTCTGGTCCACTTTGGTGTTTTTTTCCCTATAGTGACTGGTCACTAGAACCTGAAAGCCCCCAATCCCTTGGATGAGTGGGGTCTCAAAATGGAAGCCCCATCACAGACCAGCAGAAAAGGAGAAAGGACCTAGAAGCACGGCCGGCGGTCTGAAGAGCCAACTAACATGGATGGGCAGAGAAAGCAGGTATGGCCAGAGCTGGGGGTGATTGGCCTGTGGGTCGTCGGGGGCCCTTGGGGCTGGGGGAAGGGCCCAGCGCTGGTGATTGCGCTGGCTCAGGACGGAGCGTGGCCTTGGCCTGGTTGGAGGTGACCGGTGATGGGAGCCTGCCCGGTGCAGGCCTCCCCACACTGGGGGTGCGGTTTTTAGGGCCTGCCATTATAATTCGGAGGAGCAAAGAGGCTTGAGCACAGGTGCCCGCTCTAGTTGATTTCTCGCAGAGAAAGAGGACGTGTTGGTGGCGTGCAGAAGTGGGGGCGGGAAGTCAGTCAGGGCTTGTGCAGCTTAGGAAGAGGCAACCAGAGGCTGGCTGGGGGCTCAAAGAAGGCAGAGCTGGGGGGACAGGCCTGCTCCCGGGGAGTGGGCCCACCCGGGGAAGGCCTCGAGGGGGCTGGTCCAGCAGCCCAGGAAAGGGGTGACTGTTAAGTACAAATGAAGGTCTCTTGGAGATGGTGCCTGCTCTAGGGGGGTGGCTTCCCTGCCCTGGAGAGCTGAGGGGTGGGCAGCGCACTGTGGCTCAGCACCTGCATTCCTCAGGAGGGCAGCGCCCCCAGACCACGGGACCCTAGTCACAGGCAGTAGGCAGCTGTTCTTTTGTAAACAAGTAACCCCACGAGGAGGGAAGGCTTTTCTTCCCTGTTGACCCTTCTGACACCCTGGCCTCAGACAGGGAACGTGCCTCTCCCACACTGCCCTGCGTGGCTCCCGCCATGCCAGGGCCGTACCCCTGCACCCCTTAGGATGCTCCCAACTACGTGTGCCCACCTGTTGCTAAAGCACCAGTCTGGCCAGGTGCCAAGTAGCCGCCCGTCAGCTTTTTCTTAGTCCACCCGGTATCCAAGAAAGAGCAGAGGAGGGGCCCAGGGGTGGGGGGGGTGCACAGAGGGATGGGAGCAGAGGCCGGGCCCTCTCTGGCAGCATGTCCCCTGCCTGGGGCGGGGTGGGGGGCAGAGGCGCCTTCGCGCAGCCCCTCCTGTCATGGTTGGTAGTGGGTTTCTTTCAAACGAGGAAAATGATTTAACCAGTTGTACGGAAAGGCAGAAAGGAGAAAACACAAGAGGAGGCTTCAGGTACCCGCTCCGCGCGCGCCCCCGAAGCAGTGCTCGGTCGGTGCCACTCAACAGCTAGGGGTTTTGGAGCCGTTCAATTAATTACTGCCGAGACGCTGCTCCAGCCTTTACCTTCCGGCGTCTCCTCTGCCAGCCTTGGCCGGTGGAGGCAGCAGCAGCCTCTGCAGAGGGTCTGCGTGACTAGACTGTCTCAGGCAAATGTCAAGGAAGGAGAAGCCTCAGGTGGATGGCGGGGTGGGAGCACGCTGGTCAAACGCGCGCTCTTCCCAGAGCCACCCAGGCCCTCCTGGGACCAGGCCCCCCGCGGGCCTGCCCCGAGTATTTGGTGGGTGCACTGCCCCCTCTGACAGCCCATGCTGGTGTGGGGGCCTGGGTGGGGCTGCCGACGCAGCAGGCTTTTGGGGGGCCGTGTGCCTACTCTAGGAGAGATGAGCAGCGCCATGGGGAGGGGTCTGCAGGGGCAGAGTGGGCTGTCGAGGGCAAGAGAAAATCCTGGAAGATAATTTGGCTTTAGTGGAAGTTCTGTATAAAATTTCGGTAATTCATGGTGGAAATTCCAGGAGCCCTGGGGGCTTCTGGGCCACATAATTTGAATTTAAGGGAAATGGTATATTTCACCTTCTCACACAACCTCAATTACCCAGAGCGAATTTTCCTAATGACATCTAATTGAGACAGCAACATAAGCCAGGCACTCAGACCAGCTCTGGCCTGGGGGAGGAGAAACGTGCCTGCTGCGGCGGCTGTGCCCCTCGCCCCCAAGTGGGAGAGGCGGGGCCTCCGCCTGCACTGAAGCCCCGGGCTCAGGATTTGAATTCCAAAAGCTCTCTAGTTCCAGTCTTTGGCTTGGTTGCAGCCGTGGGGACCGGCAGCCGCACTGCTGTGGGAGGGGCGCGCCTGGCCTGCAAGGGCGGAGCAGGTCAGCGCCCTTGGGCGGCCCACTGGACCCTGCTGGCGGCCCTCCGCCACCTCTGGGCCTCCCAGGTGCTCCTCCCAATGCCCACGCCGGCCCCCGCCGGCCCCCGCCGCGCGTCCTCGCCCTTCAGCTCTCGGGGATTTAAAGTCTGCCTTGGAGTGTCCCCGAACCTCTCTCTCCCCAAGTCACTCCTTTTCTCTTCAAATTATTCTTCACGGCCGGGACACTCGGGCAGTGACTTCTGTCACCTAATCCTGCCCCTATTCTTGCTGCTGTTCTCGCCTCCTACGTCTTTGTCTTTTTCTGTGGTCCCCAAAATGTGCTTTTCCTTTCTTCCTCAAATGTTCCCCCACATTGCGGCCACCACTCGCCCTCCGTTCAGTCAGATCTTCCTCTGGCCTGCCTGACAGCCCTGCCCCGGCCACCCGCTCGCCCTCAGTAAGCCCCGCAACAGGTGGCCGCCTGCCCTGCGCCGCACACCCGCCTGGGGCGAGCCGAGGCCAGGGCTGCACACGGCCTTCTCTGTCCTGGGGAAGGGCCGGGCCAGGGGCAAACACAAAAGGGAGATTTTAAAACTGGGAAAACCATTGGTAAAATTCACCTTCTCTCTATCCTCGAAATAGATAAAGGAAAAGTTAAAGACAAAACTGCTAGGTTAAATAATTTGTCAGACCCCCGCCCTCCCCCAGCCCGTTTAACTTTTGCCTCGCTTACCCCATGCGTTCTACAGTGGAGGCAAAATCAGTTTGGGGGGAGTACAGAAAAATCTCGACTGTTTCAAGGCCCCGCCCTGCAGGGAAAGACGCGTATAGAGATACACCTGCGCTGTCTGGAGCTATAGCTGTGCTACGAAAATTTCGTGGGAGAGGAGCAATTAAGTAAAAGTGGTCTGACAGAGCTCCCAGGGGGGAGCGATAATGAGGAAGCTGGCCTGTGCCGACACCTGGGCCTGAGTCACCTCGACTTGTGCTGATAATAAGCCCAGCCTTGGGGGGCCACCGGCAGGCTGTCAGTCTGCCCCCCAGTGCTGCTGCGTCACTGGCTGTGGGCCTCAGCGTGAGGCTGCTGCCACCCCCCCCCCCAAAGCTTGTTTTCAGACCCCAGGAGCAGAGAGGTGGGGGGGACTCGACACAGGCCCGGGTCAGCGCACCGGTGCCTGCTCTTGGGCAGTGGAGCTTTTCCTTCTCGAATTCGCCTCTCTAAACCCTTTTTCCCTCCGATTCAGAACAGATTTGACCACATCTCAAATAAGATAAGCACAAAACAGATTTCTTCACAACTGGTGTTTTTTATTTGATTAACTGCTGACCACATTTTTGGCTCCACCAGGGTTAAAGTCACTGATGGGTGGCTCTAGCGCCTGACAGTCCTCAGTGCCCTCTATCAGGGACTCCGCGTTCCTTGTGAAGAAACTGAGGCAGAGAGCTTCCGGTGTCAGGTCTGGCCCCAGGCCGCCGGGCAAGGCAGGGCCCCCAGAGACCCTCTCTCTGCATTCTGCCTATCTCCGAGCCTCCAGATTTAGGAAACAGCCCCTGATATAGAAGCCCCAGAGTGGGCCGGGGGACCCCACCCCTCCTGCTGGAACATGGGGGTTAAAGATGTAATTTGAGCGTCTCATCCCTTTGCTGGGCCATTTTTTTTAACAGCAGGGCTGCACTTTTTCTGGCTTGTGAATGACATCACCCACCTCTGAAGCTTGATTTGATTTTAGTGATTTGTTTTTTGCTATAGGTCACCTTTGCTAAGAGACAGACTTGCCCCAACACCGTGGTTCCCGCTCAGTTTCCTCTCAATAGTTTCCTTCTGCATGAAGAGCCGTGATAATGCGGATAAATGAAGCAAAATCCAGGCAGGTTATTATTATTTTTTTTAAAAGCCCTCATTCTTAACAAGCACTGGCTTCTGCTTTCTTTGTTAAACCTATTGCAGCTGCTAAATGAGGGCTAAAGCCTCAACTGGGGGAGAGGAGCTTCTAGTGCATTCAAAAAACCTTAAAGCCCCCAGTGCTTGCATTGTGATAAACGGCGATTAAAAGTCCTGTTTGCCAAACTTTAAGCCACCCAGGCCAGGGGACACCACACGGCAGCTGCACTCTGCCGCATCCTTTTCCAGCTCAAAAAGTTCACTTAGAAGAGCAGCTTTGTCCAAGAAAAAGCCGATTTCCAGTAAGCAACCGAGTAACACGGGAAAGGGAAAAGTCCTCAATTCTGGTGCACACCGACACATTTAACCAGCTTCGTCTTCCTCCTCTGCATGTGACTGCTGTAGCTGGCTGACAAGTCACCTCTGTGCCAACTGGCTGTAAATCTGCTTTTGAGGGAGCATTTCCTCACCCCACCTAGGATGGGCAAGTGGACCCATTCAGATGCTAACTAGCCTCAGAGCAGCAGGGGAACAAAGGGCCAGTGGGGCGGCCAGCGCCTTGGGATGCTTGGAGAACTTGCCAGAAGCCAGAGCCTCAGGTAGAAAGGGCTTGAAGCTTCTCTGAGGCAACCCCCCCCCCCTCTGGTGGGGCTGGACGAGCCTGGGGGCTGGCGATTCCCTCCTCAGTTGTTTTCTATGGTCCTTAATGGTCCATCTACCCTCGCGCAGGTGGGGGAGGGGCAGGGGGTGGGGTGCTGAGTGGAGGGGGCAGGTTTTCCTAATCAGGTAGTTTGTGTGCGGGTCGGGAAGATGGCTAACTCTTTGTTCCCGGATCCTCCCCACCCCCCCAGGAGCCAGCCGCCTCCGGGGTGGTGGCTGGGGGCGGCGGGGCACTGAGGACAAGGGCTTTTGGGTTCTTTTTCTTCTCTTACATATTCATCCTGAAACAAGGCAGCCTGCTAGTTTCTCTAGTGAAAACCCCAGATCTGAGGAAAGTCAGTCCCCCAGGCTTGCCCATCCTTGAGGGTCGCTCTGGCACTGAAAAGCACCTCAAAAGCCAACCAAAAACCTGGCTTCTCTGCCTCTTCCCTGGAGACGGCTCACTTAGTAAACTCAGGTTGCCAAGATGCCACCAAAGAAAAACACGAGGCGCGGGCCATAGAGGGGCAGGCCACCGTTTGGGGGAGCGGACACTTGGGCTGGGGCTTGTGCTCCCCAAGGCAAGCACCGGCTTTGGAGCCGTCGCGGGCCCTGGGGACCTCCCCAGCACTTGGGGGGGGGGCAGGCGAGCAGGCACCCAGCTGTGCTTGGTCAGCTGGCAGCTGCGCATAACTAAGTTCTGGGGTGCTGCGCCCCTCTCCCTGGGAAGCGGGGAGGAAGCCCTTTCCAAGGGGGTCCTTCCTCCTTCCCTTAGCGCTCTAAGACCCGACCTGTGTTTCCGTTTCAGCCTCAAAACGCTTCACTTTTCCCGCAAAACATTCTCAGCGAAATAGCTTGAACCTGCGCGAAACACAGACGCGTGCACGCGGACAGAGCCGCTTCCACATCGGGTGAGGTTTTGTGACCACATTTCACTTCTCAGCCTTTTTGCCCCGGGCTGGGCGCGAAGGGCACACTTTACCCAGCAGTACCGACCGCGCTGTTTTTGGGCAGCGACACCCGCGGTTTCGCCTCCAGGGTAGATTCCAAACTTCGCCACCGCCGAGCTGACATGGCCGGTGCGCGCCCGGCCTCCCCTCCCGAGGCTGCTGGCGCCGCCAGCCCCTGCCCCCTCGCGACCGATCGCCCAAGGACTCGCGTCGGGTCCAGCTCTTTTCCCCAGCCGCGCCGGTGCCGTGCCCTTTGGAGACGCATTTTAGGGTGCCCTTGTGATAGACGCGACCCCGTCTCTAGCCTGTTCCCGGGTCCTCTTTACCTTGGCGCGCGCGAGCACCTCGCGGACCTCTTCGCCCCTCTCCTCCGCCCGCCAGACCTTGCGCGAGCGGCGCGGGACCTCTCCCGCCAAGCTGCACCCCGCGCCGCCGGCAAACCGGCTTCGCCAAAAGGTTGGCGATGCCCCGACGTGACCAAGCACGCGCCACCTCCCCGGTAGCCCACAGGGGCACCCCCCGAGACTCGCGTACCTCCTCTGAACGCCCTGCGAGCGTGGAGGGCTCGTGAGGAACGGCTGGCTTGCCGGAGAGGTCGGCGCCGAGGCGCGCGGGCAGGTGCGCGCGCTCTGTGCGGCGATCTGCCGGCCGGCCGGCGGGCGCGGGAGGCGGGCGCGGGGAGGCGGGCGGCGGCGGCCCGGCGCGGCGCACAGGCTCGGGGCCCGGGCGCCAGATCCCGCGGCTCCACCTTGGCCGCGCCAGGGACCTGGGCTCCGGGCTCGGAGCGGTTTAAGTGCTGCGCGCGCGCCTCTCCCGGAGCCGGCGGCCGCCGAGGTCTCGCCCAATCCCAGTCGGGTTCCTCTCCGCGCCTCGCCAGTGTCCTGCGGCGCGGCCGCTCTGCCCCGTGAAAGTTGGCGAGCGCGCCGCTGTCGGCGCCCGCCAAGGCCTGAGACTCCCTCTCTGGGAAGGAAGAAAAGTGCGTGAAACAAGTGACTTACCCGGGCAGCTGGGGAGCGCGGGTCCCAATCCGGGGGCGCCTCCGGAGGCCGTCGCGCCGCCCCGACACCAGCGCGGGCCTCGGGTCGCCTCCAGCGGGCGCGCGGAGCGCACCGCCGTCCAGCACACCTTCGGCCCCCTGAGTGTCCCCGGAACCCTGGGAAGATTTGGGGCGCCCTTCCCGGCGTTCCGAGCCCTCCTTCCTCCCGCCGCCCCGCACCCGCGCCCGGGACCCGCGCCCGCGCCCGCACCGACCCCGGCCGCGGGGCTCGCGCGCCAGCCTACCTGGTCCAAAGAAAACAAGGAGAACCTGGAAGCCGTCGTCGGCCATTAGTGACGACGGATGGGGATGGGTCCCCTCTTGGGGGACTCCGGGGACGGGTCGCGGCGGGTGGGCTTCCTGGGCCTGCAGCGGCGCTGCTGCTGCTGCTGCTGCTTCTCCGCCTTGGGGCGCGCTGCCTCTTCGGGGTCCCGCGGGTCCCTGTCCTCGGGCCGGGGCTCCTCCCCCTCGGCGGGGCTGCGGGGCTGCGCGCGGCGCGGGGAGGCGTCGGGGCTCCGCAGCCTCAGCGCGTGCAGGCGCTCGCTGAGGGACTGGCCGAAGCTGGGGCGCGGGGGCGCCGCGGGGCCGCGCTCGTCCTCGGGCTCGGTCTCGGGCTCGGTGGTGGGGGCGGTCTCGGTCTCGGTCTCGGACTCGATCTCGGACTCGGACTCGGACTCGGTCTCCGTCTCGTAGCCGAACTCGTCCTCGTAGTCGAGGCAGCCGGGCAGGGGCGGCGCGCGGGCGGCCGGCTCGTGCCCGTGCTCCAGCTCGCGGTCGGGCTCGGGGGACTCGGGGGGCTCGGGGGCCGCCTGGGCGCCGGCGCGGTGGTGGGCGTTGAGGAAGCCCCGGCGCTGCTGGGCGCGCTGCTGGGCGCGGGCGCTGGAGGTGGCGAGCGCGCGGAGCAGCGCGATGGAGCAGGACAGCCAGAGGAGCGCGGTGGCCGCGCGGCGGCCGATGGGCGGGCACAGGTCGTTGTAGTTGTGGCGAGCTCGGCGCCACTGCTGAGCCCGGGACCTGCGATCCATGCTCCTGGGGCTCGCCCCTGGCTCTGCGGAGAGCGGCTCCGCCGCGCGCCCAACTTCCCGAGCTCCGGCTCGGCTGCCTCCGAGGGAGACGGAGAGGAGCGTCTGTCTCCTCGGGGCGCCCCTCGAAGTCTCAGGCTGCAGCCCAAGACCCGGGAGAGGTGCCTCCGCGGTCCTCTCGCCGGGGAGAGGGCAGAGGAGACTGAGGAGCCCGCCCGGCGGCGCTTCTGCAAAGTTGCGCGCCCAGACTTCTGCGGGGCGTGCGCGCGGGGGGCGTGCGCGCGGGGGGCGGGGGGCGGGGGGGCGGGGGCGGGCCGCGCGCGGGTGCGGGCCGGGCGCAGGCCCGAGTGGGCCGGCAGGTGGCAGGAGGGAACCTTGTTTGCAAGGATTTGGCGAAGCGCAGGGCGGGGGCCGGCGGGCCGGAGCCGGTGCGGGCTCTGCCCTCGGACGCCGGCTGGTTCCGAGCGGCCGGGCCGGCCCGGGGCTGGCGCGCAGATGGCTGAGGGCAGGCGGGGTGCGATGCCCACGGACACGGGGTCTGAGCCCGAGGGCCGGTGACCCCGCCGGACATTTACCAGGGCCTGGTAGTTTGGGGATGGTCACCCCGGGGCGCGTTAATCACAAAACCACCTTCGTGGCGCCTGTGCCCGCGGCCGCTGACCGCAGCCCCCCGCAGCCCCCCGCGCGGGCTGATCTCCAGGGCCCGCCGCGGGGTGGGGGGAAAGACCCACCGCCGCCCCTCCAGGTCCAGCTGAGCCCCGGCGGGGGCCAGTGGGCGCCGCCGGGGAGACGCTGCCTCTGGGGGGCGCCTCAGGGCGGCCAGCCGGCGAGATCCCTGGGCGCCCGAGCTGGTTTGTGGAGAGATTTTCAGCACATTTCATTTATTCCACTGCCGAGGCGCTCGGGCCGCCCAGCTCTGCGCCAGGTGCGGAAGGTCGAGTCTGGCGGGGAAGGGGGGGTCCTGCCTTGGGGAAGGGACTCTTGGGGTCAGTCCACCCCGACCAGGCACCGACAGCCCGAGCCCTCGGGTCTCTCCGGCTCGGGTCCAGATGCCCCGCACTGCACCGCGCCCCACCGCCCAGCCCGTCGGGGGAAGGGGATCTCTCTGCCCCCAAAGCGCCGCTGGCTGTGTCCTCCTGGAGGGGTCCCCTGGAGCCCTCCTGGGGGGGCGGGGGGGGCTTTCGGGCGTGCTCCGTCCTGTGTGGCCGGGCTGCTTCCTCCCATGGGTCCCCTCCTGCCCCGGGCAGTGTGGGGCGCGAGCCCGAGCCCGAGCCCCTGCGAGTGGGACAGGCCGCTTCACTCGGGACACATCCAGGCTGGGGTGTTCTTTGTCTTTGTCAACACAGCAGCACTGGAAGACCCCCTGTGCCCCTGCTTTCCCTCCCTGGTGGTGCGTGGGGGCCCTCCAGCCCGGGGCTCTCGCTCAGCGCCTGGAACTCAGTGAGAGTCTAGCAACTGCTTTGGGTGTGTTGAGGTTTTCTACCTCTTAGTTTGGATGTTCTGGAATGTTCCTGACCTAGCTGCTTGGCTTGGCTGTGTCTGTCCTGAGTCTGGTGTACTTGGAGTTAGTTTCTAGCGTGGAAACACTGACTTGGCCCGTCCCTGAGGACACGTGTGCCTCCCGCCTGTGCCGCAGAAACCAGAAAGGCCTGACTGCACCACTGGAGCTGCGCGGCCCCAGCCATCCCGTGGGTCCTCTTGGGGGCGCTGGGTGGGGCCCTTGGAGCTGTAGGTCTCAAACCCTGATCTCAGCCCCCACCAAGGGGCAGGGGATCCTAAGGGTTCTGCTCACATGGACCCACCTGCCTTGTTTCTGTCAGTCCGCACAGCCCGTGGCAGCGTGTGGCCCGTGAAAATGTCTTCCAGGTGGCTTTCAGGGCACGTTGGGGCAGAGGCCAGGGCCGTGGCATGCCCCTTCGGTGGAGACTAATGTCGCCCTCCGCAACAGGGCGGGCTGTGATTCCTGAGCATCCATAAGAGAGCATTTCATTCCTCAGGAGTGCTTGTGCCTGTGATGGAGGTGGCAGCCCAGAGCTGGTCCACGGGCACAGACGCACCGAGATTGCCTGCATTATTAAAAAATGTGCATTACATAATACGTATTTTTGGACTGGATTCTGCATTAGTAATACACTTTCTTTGCAAGATGCATTTTAATCAGCAAACAAACATTGAAGAAAACACTGCATTTAACAGCCTCGGCCATGTCTCGTCACAAATACATTTCGGGGTGCTTTCTACAGGCTGCGGGAGGGGCACGCTGAAGTTCCATCTCTTGCTCAGAGCGGAGGCCGAGCAAATGGATCTGTGCAGAAAATGCTCTTTAAAATGCATTATGTGCATGATTTTAAAAAGTGATTGCTGCAGAGTGAATTTCAAAAAGGAGCAAGCGGGTGATGAACGACCTCGGTTGCTACCAGGCTGAGGAGCAAGGGGCTCTGTCTGTCTGCCGGTGAATAAAGCGCAGCCATAGATCACCTGCGGGTGCGGGCCCCGACCTGGGGACGGGCCACACGTCACGCGACAGGTTCTGCTTTGGAGGAATCGTGAAGAATATTGTCGTCAGCCCCTTAAAGGATCATCCTGTGAAGGAGGCGTGAAGACGTGTTTTCTGTGTCTCCCGAGGGTGAAACTGGAAGCTCTGGGTGCCCATTACAGCCTGGCTGTGGGGGGAAGAGTCCTGGGGGTGGGGGGACTCTTGCGAGGTGGAAGGGGCTGGGGTGGGGGGCGATGTTGAATCAGAGGACAGATGACCCCTCTGTGGACATGTCTTCCACTGAACTCTGGGGCCGGAGAGGTAGCACGTGACGCCCCCAGAGTCCTTGGCAGCCCAGGGCCTGGTGCCGTGGACGCGCTGTGCTGGGCGTGCCCCCCACTCTCCCTGCCCCTGTTTGAAACGCATCTGAAGTGCAAGTGGTGCAGTGCCGGGAAGGAACGTCTGGGTGGCAGTTGTCGGACACGAGGGAACAGGTGTCCCCGGGCCTGTGTGCAGGCATCCCGGCCAGGGCAGGGCTGCCAGGCGCCTTGCTCCACACCCCGCTTGTTGAGGCAAAGAAATGGGTCAAGTCTGTCTATTAATTACAGTCTTCTCCCTGCCTGGAGCTGTCTTGGAAATTAAAATTGAAACAGCCTATTTAGCGACTGCGCCACGAGTCACTGCGGTGACAGAGATGGCTCCCGGGCTCGTGGGGAGGTGGGATGCCACCAGCACCGTGCCAGCCCAAAATGCCCACATCCCAACAGCGGAGTGCCGGCGCCTGCTCGCTGGCGAGCCCTGCGCTGGGGTGCTCCGGGGTGCTAGCTGCCGCGGGCAGAGCACAGCTTCTCACACAGGCGGGTTCCCACCCACTCGGACTTGGGGGTTTGCCTTGGCTGTTTTCAAAGCCCATAAGAGTTGCTTTCCACATGTTCCTGGGTGCCCACCTGGTGCCCAGCCCTGTGCTGGTGGCTTTTGGGGGACAGGTGAGGCCCCGAGCCCTCCAGGGCCTGCCAGGGCGGCTGTCGTGGACCCCAGTGACACCACCACGTTTTCCAGGAAGAGACACTAGATGAAAGATGGACGCGGTTCCGCCAGGCGAGGGGGCAGAATCTCTCTAGAACATATTTTTTGGACAATCAGTGGAAAGGACTATTTCTGGAGATGGAGAGCTTTTCAGGCTTTCCTTTGGGTAGAGATGAATGCGGGAGCTTGAAGTGCTCCCCACCCCTTACTGCGGCAATCAGCCAGAAAGGCTCAGACCCCCTGGGAAGCTGGCCTGGGCCCTCGGCGCCCCGGAGAGGCCGGCGCAGCGCAGGCTCGTTTGGCTTCTCCAGACGCCGCTGGCCGTGATTCCGCGCCTCCGGGCGCTGCTCTTACAGGAGACGTGGCGAGAACCCCGGCTCCTGGTTTTGTCATGGGGGGGGGGATGGCCATCCAGACCTAAAAGCAAACAATGGGGGAAATAATCATCTTTTTGACATGGCTGGATTCCGTCCAGGCCATTGTTGGGATTACAATGCTCTATTTGTGCCCTTTTCAGGGGAGACGGGAGCGGAAACGGGCCATATGCCTGCGCACCGGGCTGCTCGGAGCTGTCTCCGGAACGGCCTCTCCTTTCCCTCTGCCTCGTGAAGCCCGCATCACGCGCTGCCCGCCTTCCCACGCACCTGCCGCCGCCGCCCGAGCCCCTCTGCCCTTCCCGCCCCCTCGCCGCGAGGAGCCGCGGGGCTCCCAGCAGGAAGTGCCCGGGGACTCGCGGGGACTCCGCGTGGCTGGGGCCCAGGCCCACACTGCCCTCCCCCACTAGCCCCAGCGCCTGGCTTGCCGGCCGTCCTCGGTGGACGCTGGCCGCTCGCTGTGGACGTCGGGCCAGGTGCAGTCTGCGTGCCCAGCCCCGCCTTACACTTTAGCTCGACGGGCTTGCTCTGTGGCCAGCTGATGTGCCACTGCGCGCACAGAGGCGAGGGGGGCTAGACTCAGCCGCACGCCCCTCCCCTGGGGGCTGAGGGAGGCACTTGCGTGGTAGAGGGCCGCCCCACCATCGGCAGTGGCCCTGGCCCATGGCCGCAGCCTCTGCCCGACTCCCCCGGTCACCCCACCATTTCCTTTACCACCAGCCCTGACCGGGCTTCAGAGTGGCTTTTGCCTCATCTGCAGAGGAGCTGGCTCGCCCCGCAGGCTGGAGGCGGCTGCAGGCCCCGAGGGGAGAGATCAGCCTGTCACATTCACCGGGAGTGTGCCTTGGTGCTAAAGAGGACGTGAGGGCATTTGTTTGTTTGTATTTGGCTTGGCTTTTCAAAAGGCAGTGAGCCTCAGCCCTGCCCCGTGGAGGTGGCTGTGGCGGTGGTGGTCACGGTGATGGTGGTGAAGATCAGGAGGCAGGGAGGTGGTGAGGTTGGGAACACCCCAGCTAGGCAGCAAGAGCCTAACAGAACACGGAGAGGGGCTTGTCTGTGTGCATTTCCAGTTCTCTCTTAATGGCTTCTTGATAGAAGGTCCCAGCAGCCATAGTTTGAGCTGCAGAAGTGCACGGAGTCCCTGCTAGGGGCCATACACTCGGGGGGCCCGGGAATGGGAGGGTGAGGTGAATCAGACATTTCTCCATTTAGTGCATTCGGGGTGGGGTGGATCTGGAAATAACACGTCATCACATTAAGGAAGGGGGTTGTTACAACACTAGCTAAGGACACTAGAAAAGAAATCTGGGGTCTCCCTGGTGGTGCAAGGGGTTAAGATGCAACCTGTGAAGCTGTC